ATCTAATTTCATTTGAATTTATTATGGACAATGCATTTTAATCAACATGAATATATCATATACTGTTAATACGCCAGATTTAAGCAAAAAAGGCAAATTTTTACCTGCAGACCCTTAGCAGGTTGATGGAAAGAATTAGAAAGAATTACAATTAACATGCACGTAACACAACATAACCCATCATTTATGACACATTTCAATAGCTAAATAGTAGAGTAATTTACAATACAAATTGATATTAGAATTTAAAAACAAGTCACATCCAAGAAAAAAAACCTAATTTATAAATTCTTCAAGACATGAAAACAGTTTTGATAAACTACTAACTATTACATTCATRTTAACGTTGCAGTAAAAGAGATAAAATTAATCTTAATTTGTCTGTTTAAACAACATTTGTCTTTAAATTGCTGCATACAGATTAATAAAATTAATGCTGCCTTCATTTTAATTTAACATGAATGGAACAAAAATAGATCCAAGCTTAAGTTTCGGTTGTTTCTCTGTGAAACTTATGAGACTCGGCACCATCTAATGTGATTGTTCAGTTCAGATTTACCCACAAACATGAAAACAACATTCTTATTGACGTAATGCCTGAAATGCAGTATTGCAGAGGGAAATGCAGCAGCYGACCTCCTTTCCTCTCCTTGTTTTTGTTGTTAGATCAGCGCTGACATGCATCACAGTCAGCAGGATCGGAGGTTATTTTCATAAATGTAAAAAAAAATGCATGTGTTGACTTTGCAGAGTGAGACCCAGAAATGACAAAATGAGGTGACAGTCTGCTGACACATCACAACGCGGTGTTCCCGTTATAATATCTGCTTACAGTCCCATAATATAATGTTACACGCCATTCAGTCAAGTTTATTAAAATTCGGTCTTCCTGGTCTACAGTAGAATTGGGTTTTGGTTGCAGCTGGTGCATCATGGGTAACTGCTGTGCTTGTTTCTTATTTGAAATCTTCTGCTTCTTTAAGACTTCCTGAGGGAGGACACTCCAGTTGGGACGAGTTTCCTGCGGGCCGCAGCACACGATGATGACCAAGGGAGCAACGCAGCCATTACCTACTCCCTGTCCAATCAGAAGCCAGCTTACCTGCACATCAACCCCAGCACTGGCTGGATTTATGTCAACCATCCCATCTCACAGGTCAGAAACTCAGCGGCAGAACTCGCTACACCTAAACCTTTAGAAATCTCTTGATCCTTTTTTTCAAGTGATGCGAAATCACAGTTTAGAGATGATTTAAGGATATAATCAGGTTTCCACAGTTAAATTATTACTATACTGACACTGTAAAATCATCACTTTTCCAGTTGTTGGTCTTTACGTTTTTACCTCTTCCTCTGCACTTAGAAATCATTTGTTTGCATTTAATAATGCTTTTGCAAGCTATATTCTGTGATTGTGACAATCATTTCTCTTCACATTAATAGTTCTCTACAGTAGGGGTGTCCCGATACCAGTTTTTTCAAGACTGAGTACAAGTACGAGTACTTTAGTTTAGGTACTCACCAATACCAATACCGATACCAATACCGATACCAAGTAGCGGGGTTCGTGTGGATTATCTGTTCAACTTGTTGAATATTAAACAGAATGAAAATGAAATGCGATTATCATGCAAAAAT